AGATTTGTCCAACAGTCCTGCACAGCTTGTTTTCCACTTCTTTTACTGCTCAATGTGAGCAGCAGGAGCCCTGTTATAGCTGATATTGGAGCATTTCTGGTTCCTAATAGGAAATTTCTGTGTTGATGCACCACAAAAAAAAGTCACCAGTGGCAGAGGCAGTTCACACCGAGGGACCTGGGAATTGCTGTTGGCTGCCCAGCACCACTTTCCCAGCTGGTTTTCTACAGCCAGACCACAGAGGTGTTGTGCAATGTATCCGAGGTGGGAGGGAAGTGGTTTGCCAAAAGGAAGGGTTTTAGAGGAGATTCACAATTGCAGAAGTTCTCACCAGAGCTGTCACCTAATGAGGTAATTCTGGGGGATGCTAAATCTGAAATGGTGGTGGGGCTCAGGAACAGCCTGGATTGATGTGGGTGTGGTGGGGAGAAGCCCAGGACTTGTTTTGCAGTAGAGGAACAGCTTAAACCTGGCCACACATCACACCAGGTGTGCACAGGAACAACCACCACCAGCACAGATCAGTCACCCACAGTCAGGGACATCAGACCAAACAGCCACATTTACCTCTGAAATCAACTCAGAATTGGGATTGGTGGTGGGAGCTGGACCCCCACCAGGTCCAGGAGCTTCTCAGTGGGTGCCCCTGGGAGGAAGGCAGAGCCCTTGGTACCAGGCTGGTGGGGACAGTCCCCCTTAGCTGATCCCTCACCTCCCTCTGCTCTGTGATTGTTTTACCTCCCTGAAAGCCATCTCTGGCCAGGGCACCTCTCTCCCAGCCCCTGTTCCCACAGTCACTCTGGGTGTCCTTTGCTTCTCCCTCCACATCCAGCTTTCCACTGTGTCAGTGCAGCCACCACCCTCAGCAGGGTCTGCCAAGGCCACATGCCCAGCAACCTCCACCTCCAAGGGAGCCAGGGCAGGACCCTCTGCAGCCAGAGGCCCATTTTCCATGGAAAAGCTCAGCCAAGTAAGCCAAGAGCTCAGAAATCTCTGGCTCTGGGGCAGGGAACATCCCCGAGGGCACACACAGAGCTCCTGCCGCTGGACAGGCAGGCGTGATAAGCAGCAGTCAGGCGTCTGTACCGGCCCCAAACCTCTGCTTATCTGGCCCTTTGCAGCCCCAGCAGCGCCCCTGGCAGCTCCTAAGGAGAGGAAAAGCAGCCGGGGCAGATCGCTGAACCCTCAGCACTGCAGCTATCTCGCTCCCCGCGGTGAATCACACCCCCTCCTTCCAGCTGCTGGGATTTTTCAGTGGATTTCAAATTTCCTAAGGCACTTGGTGTGAACCAGCTCTGCCACCGGTGGCTTTTTTTCTGGTGGATCAACACAAAGTTTCCTCCTGGAAGCCAGAAATGCTTCAGTAGGGACTGTAACGGGGCTCCTTCGGGAACCTGGCAGAAGGCAAACCTTGAGGTGCAGCCTTGAGGAGAAGGTCAGAAAACCACTGGAGAGCCCAGGGAGACGCCGAAGGCTCCCGGGGCAGCACGACGAGCAGAGTGCCGGGATGGGACGGGGTGTGCGGTGCCATCCCCGCAGCGCAGGGCAGCCCCCAAACCCCGCGGCCGGGGGTGCCTCAGGTTCCCCTGGAGCCCCCCGAGGAGCCCCCCCGGTGCTCGGCGCTGCCCCGCGCAGGGGTTGGTGCCTCTAGAGGGAGCTGAGCCGGAGCCGCCCGCGTCTATGGTCCGGGGCTGGGTTTCTACTTGATGTTTTTTTTTTTTTCCTCTTCTTCTTTTCCCTCCTCCTCCCCGGCCCCGCTCGCTTCCTTTCCCCCGCCGCGCTCCGGGCAGGAGGCAGGAAGGGAGGCGGCGGGATGGAGCGGCTCCCGGCCGGGATGCGGTAGCGCCCCGGGACACGGTGAGTCGCGGGGGACCCCCCTCGCCCCCTCCCCGGGCTCCCCCGG